GGTCCTGGTTGGAGCAGGGGGTGGGACTAGATCCCTCCTGAGGTCCCTTCCAGCCCTGAGATTCTATGCTGAAGCCCTGTTGTAGCTGGGTTATCCACAGGCAGCGGCTTCCCCAGGGGAGTGGGGTCCGCACGCTTTCCAAACGACACATGACCCTCTCCCGTTGTCTGTCTGTCCATCATTCTCTACAGCAGCAGCTTCAAGCTCCCCAGCTCTCGCAGCTCCAGGCTCTGGCTCTCCCCCTGACTCCACTGCCCGTGGGCCTCCAGCCCCCTTCCCTCCCGGCTGTCAGCGCCGGCACCGGGCTCCTCTCGCTGTCTGCCCTGGGCTCCCAAGCTCACCTCTACAAGGAGGACAAGAACGGGCACGACGGGGACACCCACCAAGATGACGACGGGGAGAAGTCGGATTAAAGTGAGGGTTGGGGGGGGGGGGGGGTGTCTGAGCATCCATCTCCCTTGAGAACGGAATAGAGACGTGGCAGCAATAAACGCCACCGCTACGAACACGGGGCTGTTAAATTCCACTCTCCGCCAGCTCCCTCGCCGGCCTGGGCTCGCTCAGTCACTCCCGCGCCGAGCGCTGCTGTCACCAGCTCTTGACCCGCAGTACGTTGATCTGACCCCGTGCTGGGCAGATGGGCCCAGCCGTGTCCGGACTCCGGGTACTGCATGCAAGCGCAGTGGCACCATTCCCCCTCTCCCCGGCCCCAGTGCGTATTTAAAGATACAAACCCGTTCTCCAGCCCCGTTGTCCCTGCCCCTCCATGCCCCGACCTCTGTAGGTTTCGATTGCGTCTCACTGGTTCGGGCCCTGTTCCGTCTCGGCACCCCCACCTGCACTAGTGCCAGTTCTGCACCTTGCTGTCCTGCATGTATCCCTGTTTAACCAGTCCTGGGAGCACAATACTAGTCCAGTGCCCTCAGGTGCCAGGTGTGTCTCTTCGCGCTGCTTCTCCACTTCTAGCTGGAGTTCCCCCGCCCGCTGGCCCTCCTCAGCAGTGGACCTGGCTGTCTAAGATGGTGGGAGGAAGGGAGGAGTGGGTGGTGGGGGGAGAAATCAGACCAGCTTAGAACCTCCCTCTGCTTCCCTGCCCCCCACCATTTGGAAAAGGATACTGCAGCTTTCTCTGTTTCTATTTCAGTGCGCTAGCGTGTCTTTCTTTAAAAAAAAAAAAAACAATGGAAATTT